CAATGCCATCATGGAAGACATATTGGCCACAGCAGAAGACTTCCCTCCCATCCCTGATGCGCACTCGCGGTTTCCACATGGTCACATTCGCATGGAAGATATCGCAAGGACGCGGTGTGCTGGACATTTTCTTGATTCGGCGACCGGCCGCAATCTGCGAACAGCACGAGATCGCCGCAAGTGAGCCGGGTTCGTGTAGTGACCGGCGACATGAGCTTACGTACTCCGTCCTTGGCCTACCAACAGGCCCTTGCGAGGATCGATGCTATGGCGGACGAGGGTGACTTTTGGCTTTACCACGAGATCATTCGTTCGAGAAGTCAGTTGCATGTTGTTGTTGGCGCTGCCTTGTGAACACCACGAGATGGGCGATGCGTGTTGGTGTGATACTCAGGCGACTGCGCAAGTCCTAAAGTGCAAATAAGGGTCGTGTGCTTTCGGGTTGCGGGCGTAGGCTTCCTGAGTCAGGGCTAGGAGACTGTGGATTGGAAAGCACGTGGTAGGGGCTAAAAGCGTCGGCTTTCGGAGAGCCTCTTGAGGGACCCTGAGACCTGCATCACAGTGAGGGTGCTGCCTACTGGGGGCCTGCAGGTTTTTCAAGTTCGCCCAGAAGTCCGTACTTGAGGACGGGCCCTGAATTTCGTCCTCCGCCTTTCGCAGCCCAGGAGCACAAGACCTCTCCAAAGCAGGCGCGGTGGACGACGACGACTACTGCTACTGCTGCTGCTGCAACTACTGCTACGGCTGCTACTGTTACGACTGCTACTGCTGCGACTGACTTGGCTGGCACAAGGATCGTCAGCAGCACCGCTACCCCCTTCAAAACGAGTCGTACGGGTCGTTCTAACGTCAGCTGTTAAGGTGCTGATTTCGATATGATGAGTTCCATGTGCCAGGGAGGGAGCCCTTAGAGTGCATTTCATCCTATGTCTGAGATTCTCGCTGTCCAGATGCTCCAGAGCCCCAGGTGACAAGTGTGTGTTAGTATTTACAGTTTAAAGTTTAAGGTTCAGGCTCGGAATGCCACAGATAGCTCCTCAATTCCCATCTCAGTCCGGAGCCTTGGAAGGCACCATTACCCCCGAAGCCTCCGAACTTGAAAGTCTAAAGCCCAAAGTCCATATCTGCAAACGGCAGGAGGTCGTCGTCTTGGCCAAAGTGCTGGCGGCAGAGGTGAACTATGGTTACGAGGATATACAGATTGAAGCTCCTAGTGTCTTGGGAGGAGAGCGTGCGATTATTCAGCCTTTTTCGACTGATGTAGGGGTTGAAAAGGCTGGTATTTGACTTGTACCATATGAGCTTCAGGGCCGTGCAGCGAGGAACCCATACAATCAAGGAGCATCTTGGGATCTGAAGGTTCTGTGACATGTCCTTTAGGGTCTATGTTTGAGGGGCAAGTTCACAAACCGGATGGAGCAACGTGTTAAGGAGGGTTTTCCGCGGAGTGTCGTGGGTTTTTGACCCGTTGCAGATTGCGCGCGAAGAAGTTAGCGAGGCTGGAAGCTTGTGCTATGCGAGGTTGAGTCTGTCATAACTTCAAGGAGCAAGTGCGTCATACCTTGCAGTGTTAAACACATCACCGATGAAGTGTGTAAGTCCTGAAACAAGTGCTGGCTATACCGGTTGCACGCTAAGCCGGGCCTGAGTTGGCAAAGGAACATCCGCGGCAGTAACCCTTCATGTGCTTGTTCTTGTAACCCTAAGAAGCAGCCCTTATAGTACCCCTCATAGAAAGCATCGGCCTTTGTGAGCGATTGCAAGGACTTTCAGTGCCTGGAGCTTCTCAGCTTCGGAAGCTGCTCGGAGCGAGAAAGCCCCGTGTTCCCATCATTTTTCACATTTCAAAACATCCTCCGGCAGTCAGCGTCAGAAGCTAGGCAGCTAGTGTTTGTCTGCTTGGTGGCCTTCGCAGCGCTTTCTGTGGTTTCGGTTCGAAAGCAGGGGCCGAGCTGCTAAAGAGCTGCTGTGCCATGGAGAAGCTGGTTGGGGAAAGTTGGGGAAGCATGGGAAGTGATGCACCCCACGAGGTCCATGTCTTGTGGAAGACGGTAGGGACGCTGCATGCATTTGGACGGCGGCGAGTCTCCGATTTAGTCTGGTCCGAAGAATTGGCCGAAATCCAAGAGACGCCGTACTCGGACACCAAGGTGGAGCAGGCGACAGCGGTGGCCGCCGTGACCCCAAGGCTGGCGCTTCCCGCAGGGTGTCGGGAAGACCTGGCGCGCTTGCTCCTGGGCCTAGCGGCGGACCCGCGAAAGCAGGAGGACGTCCGAGACCTTAGGGTTGGTCTGAAGGTGCCCGGGGCAGTGACGACCCTGAAAGTTCAAGACTATCCCGGTTGCGGTATCCTGCAGATGGCTTTGGCCTTCAAGTTTATGCACGGCTGCATGCCCGACATGGTCCTTCATCCATCCGCCGTCGATGATACCCTCCTTAGCATTCTAATCGGTCATGGGGTCTTGAAGGAGGCCTGCCACCTTCACTGGGAGAGAACGACGGTGAAGCACAGACAGGGCGGCCTCTGTTGGGTTACCATCCGCACGGAAAGTGCAGAGAGTGCGGATGCCCTGAAGCAAGCCCTCGAGTCTTGCAAGCTTGAAAAGAAGTTGGAGGAGGTGAAGATCGAAGAGCTGCTCTTGAATGCCGCGGTGCCGGTAGCCTATCATGAGAGGGACAGCAACAGCGATACTAGCCTCCGTTTCGACAGGGCATTCTTCGGTTTCTTTGTGGAGGAGATCAGGGTCATCGGTGGACGGATCCTGGATATCATCGACCCAAGCCGTGCCAGCATCGATCCCATGCTCAGTGAAGAGACGTGCTTTCCGTTAGAGGCGGTCAAGGACACTGCCGAGGTCTCCGGCTGGAACATCCCTCCCATCCGGGCATCGGGTTACGGGGGCCGCGGCGGCCGGGGCGAGACATCGGAGCCCCCGTCCTCTGCGGGTGCACCCCGCTGGATTCCAACTTTGCTGGCAATGGCTCCGGAGGGGGGGCTTCGGCTTGCTAGTGAGGTCAGTGGGATCCCGTGGATGGGGCCGCGGACGCTGTGTAACCCGCTGTACCGTCGCCTCGGCGAGCTGTTGACGGCCATGCGGCCACTCTTTGCACAGTTGGTTCCTCAAGATGGCTCACATGGGGCCGCACTCCACCAGCCGCTAGATGCAAAGTCCAAAGTCTTGATCAAGGCCCAGGTTTACGAGGTGCACAGCCGCGAGGAGATTCTGGGCGAGTCCCCCGACTGAATGGGGTTGTCAGATATAAGAAGGCTTATAACTTATACCGGTAAGCTTGCAATCGACTGTTTGCGCTTGTACCCCCGCCTAAAATAATCGAGGGCCCGGGAAGCCGAATTAGACTCCCCATACATGAGAGAGATACACGGAGACAAGGTGGGGGGGTCTGCGACAGGACCCTTGGGGTGTAGAGGAGGGATGAAGAGCATTTTCTGTCAGGCTTCACCGCGAAGGAATCGGGCATGATCGGATTCAGATGGTTGGCCTTTACTACCCCATGATCGATGAGGGACTGGCAGGTGGCGACCTAGAGATCACTGTTGTATTGACTGGTGGCTGTGGCTCACAGTACCCAAAGTCCAAGACCATCGCCGTGCAAGCTGGCACGGCCATCGTTTTTGACAACCACATGGCTTACCATCGCATGACGGCTCTTCGCACGGCTGCTTCGGGTCGGGGCCGAAGGCTTGTTGTTGCCTTCTTCGTGCTGGGGGACTTCGAAGTTCCGGGGGTGCCAGGCACAGACCGCATTTGCGTGAACTATGCAGACAAGGCCCGAGTGCTGGTTCGCCGAACCCTCGGCGAGCTGCCCAAGCACATACAGCCGCTAGGTTTCGAAATTCTCATGTCCCATCTTCGGGCTGGCACAAATAGCGCTAATCTGGTTGGACTTATGGCCGAGGTTCAGCATCGAGCAGTTTCTCACCGGTGGAACGCCCTATGCGCGGCAGCGTTTTGAGTCCTCTCGTCGCGCACGCGCCCGGGACCTGACCCAGCAGTGCCTCGTCGTTAGTGCCACCGATTGAGGTGTCCGCAACTTAATGACTTGGTGTTCCAGCCCTCGTGAAGTTCCATTTTCGCCCCTTTGAAAGCGGCACTCACCGCTATCGCGGCTCGTCGGCCTGGACGCTTCAGTAGGACTCACCACCTTTGCAGTATCGGTTTCTCAAACAAAGCTATGGTTCTTCTTTCGCAATGGTGCCTTGTGGCTGATGGTAAGAACAAGTAAAGACGGTTGACGGGTTGCGGGATATGTTGTCATTCATGTCCTTCGAATGCTTGAGAAGTTTCTCAGTCTCATCGCCCCTAGGCCCTGGGCCCAAAGCCCTCAGCCCCTAAGCCGGAAGACTTTGTCGTAAACCTAAGGACCCTCCTAAACCCTAAACCCTAAACCCTAAACCTTAAAAGACAGCACATTACCCTGCAATGCGGGCTCGTCCTTGCTAAGTAGGAGGCAAAAAACCCTGAACCCTTTCTTGAGAGAAGCTCCCATGCGGACAGAGTTGTCTGCCACATGTACAGCTGGCAGCCTGCAGGTTTGGGACAAAAAGCAGGCTAGCCATGATTTGGTAGGGTTTAGGGTTTAGGGCGGGCAGTACCATAGCTTGAGCTTTGGAGTCTAGGGTTCAGAGTTATTGACCCTCTTTCCTTCAGCATTCCCTTCTTGTTCGGATGTTGGCTTTTTGCATCCAGACGTCCTGTTCACGGGTGGTTGCCTTCGGGCGAAGAATGAGCCAGGCCTTCGGCACTTTTCTCGTTGCCTTCTTGCTGTCTGTTCGTACTTCAAATTTCCTTCAATCTTGTCATTTTGTTGTCATATGCGCACGTCAGGCTTCATCTTCAGGACCATCCAGCTTTCGGCAGCTCATGTCAAAGCTGTTTGGATCACCCAAAGCGGCCCGAAGTGTCGGCCGCATCTGAACCCGAGATCCTTGAGAAATCCCGAGACATATTGGAGCCTTCGGTCATCCTAGGATTCCCAAGCTGGGCCGGTGGTGAAGAGTCGCTCCGATCCGTACTGCCGCCTCGAAGCCCTACACCCCCAGGGTCCCACGAAGGGTCGTAGAGGAGGTCGCGAAGGGCAGAGGGCTCAGAAGCATTCGGCCGTAGACTGACAGCACATCAAGCCCCTTCAAAACCCAGGATCTGCAATCATATTGTATTCGATCAGATCCATATTGCTATATAACGGTACATTATTTTTATATCATATTGTATTATATCAGATCCATGTTGCTATAGAACGGTACATTATTTTGTATCATATTATATTATAACAGATCCATGTTGGTATATTATATAACGGTACATCATTTTTACATCATACTTTTTTTTTATTCTATCTCTGTTATGTCAAGCTGCAGGTAGTCCGGAAGCTTCGAGCTGCCAGGTTACTCAGATCCGGGAGCCGAGGGTCCGAGCCAGACTGCCGAGAGCCTCGGCAGCTTGAAACACTTGTAGAATCTATTGTGTAGTTTATCTTTTAATAGATTTTGGATGATTTTTATACACGCACGCGCACACGCAGACGCAGACGCAGACGCAGACGCAGACGCACGCACGCACGCGCACGTGCACGCACACGCACACGCACGTACACACACATGCACTCGCGCGCACATGCACACAGACCCCCGAAGCCCTGAACCCCAAGCCCTCTGCCCAAGGAGCTTAAAGCAGCTGTACAAGTACACAAGTTCAATGCTAGGCCGGCGCCGCAGCCCAGGGCTAAAGGGCAAGGCCCACAGCAAGGTTGCGGATCTAGGGGGTTGCACGGCGGATTTCGGATTGTGGTTTCAAGCAGTTGAAAAACTGCAGGCTTGAGGCTTCGGAAGTTTAGGGTTTGGGGCTTGTGTAGACCTCGATACTGCATTGCTTCATGCGTCGTTCTGCGTATGCTCTGAGAAACCATTCGGGTACTCTTGCATTGTACCACTCAGTTCAAAACATACCGGGGGTGGGCAAATACCAGGTTGGACTCTATCGGGATGCAGAGGCCTGTGCAAGATTGCCAAACCCGGGCTGCAGGAAATCCCATTCTAGGATCACCCCCACGCAATCTGGTCATTATAGGTTTTGCATCCATAGCCCAAACCTTCAGTTTCCTGCAGCTCCATAAACTCGACCGCCCTGGACCTTGAAGCCTTAACCCCAACTCCACCGCCCCGCGCCAACCCAAAGCCAGCTTCCAGGCTCCAAGACATCTGAGCCCGCGGCCTTCCTTCGTTTTGAGTTCAGCACCCCGGCAGCAGTATGATGTCGCTTTGCTCTAGCAGGTTCCCCTGTCGGGTGCGTGTTGAAAAGAGGATCTTGCTGAAGCAAATGCCGCGAAAACGGGCACCGAATTGACGAAGTTGGGCTCCCCGCTCGGAGTTTGTCCCTTGAGCCTTTCAGCTGGCCCCAAGCCCTCGCTCGACAAAGGCGTAATGACTGCATTCCCGTGTCGCCCATAGGGGCACATACATGGGGTTGTTCTAGATTCGGGCCTCCTCGGAAGTGTTTGTTCCGCAAGAAATTCCTTATCGTCAGCCCATTCCAACTCTCAAGGCGCCTATAGTAGCAGGCCCCCACATGAACTCCCTAAGCCCTAGAAAACCCTCCCAAAGGCCCCTTGTTTTCGCACCGTCAGACGGCGTGGAAATCGTCCTGGATGTGGAGCAGTGCCGCCGCTCGGGCGCTGGCATCTTGCGCCAACATGGCATCGCCAGAGCTGCTCGACGAAAGGGACGTGGCTTTAATTAAAGGGGCCGGAAAAAAGAGTTCGATAAGGTCTAAAGGTTTTAGGGGTCCTCGAAGGCTTGCTATAAGGTTTTTTGAAGGGTTCGAGAAGGGTTACAAAAAACAAGGTTCTCAGGGTTCTGCAAGGGTTGCTAGAAGCGCTTGACGTGCTGTTTACGTGTTGTGTACGGGTTACTACAAGATTGTCAAGGCTATTAATTTAAGAGTTACTAAGGGTTTGAGAGTTCTAGTCCTTGTAGTAGTTTCGGTGACCTCACTTCTTTCATCTCATTTCCATGTAGATACATGCGATAGCGAAATCACTGCTTCCGTCTGGCGTCGCGGCTGAAAGGTGACTGCGTCCGTGAGAGAGAGGTAAGGGTTTAATCTATGGGTCGGAACATTGTGTTCCTTAACACTACCCCTAAGCTCTGTTCTTATGATCCAGGCCCTTATATGAAGCATTGTGCCGTCGAAAGCACCCTCTCCCGGTATCTTTAAATCTGTCTAAAGTGGTAAGCCTCTCATCCCCAAGCTTCAACCACTACGGCCTTGCATCTGAGAGCCCTTGAGCCGTCAAAACCTCAAAGCCCCCAGCTGATTGAACTCGAAGCCGCTTAGCCATCTTAGCCATTGAGCCCAAGTCCCGCTTTGAGTTCAGTCTCTAGAGTTTAGGGAACCCTGAACCCGGACTTTCAACCCAGATTCGACTGCCCTAAGGCCGGGCCAGTGCCAGACCCTAACCTATAACCCTAAACCCTAAACC